TTTTTTTTTTTGCCAGATTTATTTTTTTTTAATTTCATTTAATTTTAGTGGCTTGATATAAAGGCTTTTTTTTTTACTTGTCAAAGCAAATTTTACTTGCATTTGGTGCTTGGCAGGTGTTAATTTTGGTCCCTGGTGACAAATATGGTGGGTGACAGTTGAAAGAAATAAAGACAGCGAGACAAAGAAAGACCCAGATGTTAATACTTACGTGTACACTGCTCAAGCTCGATGCTAGAGCTCATATGGATATTATCGACCCAGATGTGCCCTCGACTGCCACGCTCGAAGAAGCCCTCGATGACAACCTTACAAATTAAAGAGAAAAGAAAGAGAATTAAGGACTACATTCAGATCGGCACTGTGTTACTGGTGTCAGTTCATCTTGTATTATTCCCAAGTCAGTTTCTACCTTTATATAAATTGTCATACCTGATATTCTTTAGGGGACTGAGGCAGGATGGTGCGGCCTTCCCTCCACATGGGCCCCTGGTCTCCTTTCAGCGCCCAGAGCAGCGTCTCCTCCTGGTCATCATCTCGGAGCAGCACACGGAGGCTGTCCTGACCTTCACCCTGCAGCTGGTAGTAGAAGAGCAGACAGACGGGACGGCGCTCGGGTCCCACAGATGGGCTCATTAACCGTGCACGCTGTGGCTCTGACTTAGGACTCGCCTCCACATACAGGAAATTTCCAAAATCTGTAGAACGAAAGAAACAAGTGATAATGTTACACATCTTTTGTTGGTCCTGGAACAACACTGCTGTCAAAGAAACATTATTCCTAACTCTCCAACATCACCCTTAACCAAAACCTTAACCCTAAATCAACCAGGAACATGTCCTACTTAGTGAATCACTGTAAGCCAATTTTTAATTCTCCATTTTTCTTTCTTACTGTTACATTGCATTGAACATTCTGGTATGTTTTTATGTTTGCAAAGTGATAAATAATTTATTGTTTTTTTTTTTAGTGAAGGGAAGTAGAAAATCAGCTCCGACATAAAAGCACATCCCCTCTGTGTCCAGAGGAAAGAGTCCTTACAACATAATCTCTGTCACATCCCAAAGTGGACATCTCAGTAAAGCGGAAGAAAAAGAGAAGAGAGGAAGAGTGGAAAGCGATAATCAGAGAGGAGGCCGGGAAACACTTTGTGAGTTATCTGACTGGACAGCGTGGCACCAAAAATGATCATCATTACCCACGCTGCCTCAGCTAATACGAATTCTCCTACCTTCCACTGATGTACAGAGAAATGGCATAGTCCTTTCTTTCCATTCGCCCTACTTTGACACGTTTATCATCCCAAACGTATTTAAAATACAGCACTGAAATCAGAGATCTGATCAGGTAGTCGCTGGTCCTCCTGTATGAGATGCCTAAATGGATTATGCATTTAATTAATCCATAAGAACTTCCTCTGTTTGATCTTGGGTATCCATATAAGAAAATGAATTACACTTTTTACAGGGAAAGTTCACCATAGCTCGGAGACTGTTTAGCTTAGGTTGATGTGCCAAGTAACCGGAGGGCAGGGAAAGGTGTTTCTGGGTTTATTTTTTTTAAGTGGAATCTTCCTGGTTTAAACTCTGGGGTATGAACACTCTGGGGTGCTGTTCCAGGAGCCATAGGATCTACACAGCTTACTGCAAAGTTTTATTGGAGTGAGCTGTGCTGTAAAGTGAATGAGTTGAGCAGCTTTTGTCCAGGGATGCTGGGAAGTGAAGCCAGAAACATACTCCACAAGTATGCAAAAAAAATAAAAAATAAAAAAATTCACTGATTAAACTGTGGAAGCCCATTTCTGCCTCTTTCTGTCTTGAATTTTTAACTTACAATTGTGACTTTTTATCTCGTAATTGTGATTTTATATCTCACAATATGACTTTATATCAAATTTTTTACAGGCTTTCATACAAAACATCTACTATATATGACAATACACTGACACTTAAAAAGAGAATGCAGTCATTAGAGAAGGTTACTTTTTGGCCCCAGACGATGTACTTACAACATCTTCCAACCAAACCTTGACCTTTTGACCTGAAAGACTACTGCTGCAGTACTAAAGCCCTACTCGCAGCAATGTTAGGAATGCATTGTGTACTTGTGTTATGAATTGGATTCAGACACATGTCAGACCCCAACAACATGTGAAATCAAGCTTGAGTGCCTAGAAATCTTTTGCATTAGGGAATCTGCACAGTTTATTTGGAGAAGGTGAGGAATGTGAAGTGACAACTCTGGTGTAAAAGAGATGGAAGAAACACAAGAGAAGGTATTGGGCTTGGGGGTGCTCTTAGTTTGGGAATGGTTAAAACAGGAGAGGATTATTTCCTTTTGACTCCTGGATCTCTCTTTAAAACTGACATGTGGAAAAGAGCAAAGATTGTTTTAACAGCTTCACAAGGCAGAGTGCTCCAAGAATTCATGGGGGACATGGAGAACTGTACATTTGTGCGTGTGTGTGTGTGTGTCCTCAGAATTAGTGAAGCACTCATAATTTTTTTTCAAGCAGGGTTGATAAAGGTCAGGTAAACTCAGGGATATGAAGAGATAAATGAGAGGAAGAGCGAGGATGGACAGAGAGTGACAGATACTATTCCCAGATTTTAACTATCACATTAATTACACACCAGTAATGAGATTGATGGATGGAATATGATAGGTGAGAGCATGTGCGTGTGTGTGTGTATTTGCTAGTAAAGAGGACAAGGGCAAAGGAAGGTCTGAAAACTCTTTCGTGCAGTGCAGTCACAGTAAGTCACTCACCATACAGTACTAAACTTTTTTTCAGACCTTCTATCACTGTCCCTGTTTATTTTCTCAACAATTCTTACTAGACAAGCACACTTGTCTTCTCAAAGTTCCCAATATTCCCAATGCTATCCCTAAATTCCCAGTGTTTATGTTCATGTTTGAAGAGATTAGTGTAAATATTAGTTTTTGTTTGTTTTAGGCTATTTAATATATTTTATTAAGATGAACTTACTGTCAGATCCCAATGTCAGGTCCAGACTAGGACTAGAGGAACTATACAGAGACCACTTCAGAACAGACATGGGGTCGTGGGTCCATCCACACATACTATGCTCAAAGTCACACAGACCACCCAGAGATGAGAAAGTGGTGGGAGCTGGGGAGAGAGAGAGAGAGAGAGAGAGAGAGAGAGCAAACCAGATTATACTCATTTACCAAGACCTCAGACCCTGCTGTAGGCTCTCTCATAACACACACATACTGTATGTGCCTCGTGAAATCTATAGACATATTTGTCTAAATGCACAGCTGATTTAATTCAACCTACCCACTGCAGTTTATATTCATGCTATACTTTGTGAAAATTATCTTGGTGTAAAGTGTTTTTTGTACTTGTATATTTTATATATTATATATGAACAGATGTGTCTAATTTTCCATAATGTTTTTTGTACTTGTATATTTTATACATTATATATGAACAGATTTGTCTAATTTTCCATACACAGATTCCCGTGTCACTGTATCTATACAGATTTGTATCTCACTGTATGTGGCAGATTGCATTTTGACTGTATGGGATAGATTCTTGATTCACTGTATGTAACAGAGTCCAGTTTCATTGCACGTAAGATATTCCTACCTCATTGTTTGCAACAGATTCCCATATATGTGACAGATTATTGTCTCACTGTACTTGACTGATTCCTGTCTCACTGTATGTGACAGATTCCAGTTTCACTATAGGTGACAGTTTACAGTCTCACTGTACTATATATGAAAGATTGCCATTTCAGTGAATATGCACAGATTCTTGCC